AATCTCAATCCAAACCTGGTTTTTACCCCAAACCAGGACTATCACCCAAAGCCAGGTGGGCTTTTAAGTCACTACCTGGTAATGCATTGAATAACACAAAACATGGTACTTTTTAAAACATTTGTATTTATATATATAAAAAATTAAATATATATAATATATAGTGTGTTTGAGGCTAAAAATATAGTACATAATATTTAAAAAAAAAGGAGGGAAAGAAGGCAGAATAGGAAAAGGTGTGGGGGACACACAGATACACATTGCTAAAAATCTACGATGGTTTGTCCTAACAAAAATATCTTTTTTCTCTTCTCTTAATTATCATCATGGATCCATTTATTTCTGGGGTGTGGGTGGAGAAAATTCAACTGGAGCTAGAAACGGAGGTTGTAATCCCAAGAATGGCTGGGTAGAAAATGTGACCACAGGGAGACCTGGGCCTCTTCTGGTGAAATTGGACGCAGCAAAATTTTCTGGGTCACTGTTGCTAACAAGATTGTGTGGACTTCTATCAGATTGGGAATGTGACCGCTCCCTCCCCAGAGTTAGAGTATTCTCGGGGGAGCAGCGTCTGAAGAGCTCCAGAAGCAAACAGAAGAGCCCAGGGCCCATCAGTACTCAACAAGGCCAGTGGTTGGGGCCAGCAAAAAACCAGCGTAGGGACAGCAGACTGGCAGGAATGAGTGACAGTTCTATGCAAATGGGGTTATTATTATTATTGTTATTATTTTTTAAGGGCAGGTTTTGTACCAGAACTGCCCAGTATGGCCTGTGACTTCTGCGCAGCAATTATTTCTCCAGGGACAGGGCCTGGAGCTCCCTCACAGTGATCAAGAAAATGGGATTCCCCTCTACCTCCCGCACCCACCCGCTACCTACCAAACCACACCTCTCTCAGTCCTCTCCACCAGCCCGGAGGTAAGCGCCTGCACCACCGAGGAACGTGAGCCAACGCCTTTCACGAAGTCTGGCCTTGAGGAGAGGAGGTGAAATACCATAGTGGGGATAGGAGGAGGCCGAGAAGGGAATGGGAATGCTAATTTTATAGCGTCTTCACACAAATATAAATTGCCTTTCAATTACATCCCTTGGTCTGTGCACTTCAGTGTTCATTATGGCCTCACCAGGGTCAGGAGCTCACTGCTCCTTTTCAGTGATTCTCAACAGGCACAGTGGCCTGTAGAGGCACCAAGCGGCAGCCTGGCTCAGGTCAGACAGCACTGCCTTGGTGGGGAAGCCAGGATTTTGAGGCCAGGGTGCCTGGGGAGGAACGAGTTTAGCCGCGGGGACAGAAGCTTCCCCGCAGCAAGGAACAAGACAGTTCGCTCCAATCGGGGTCTTGGCTTTAACGCCGTTTTCTTCAACCCCAAATGGCTGAACATTACTGTGAACATGGGCCAAGTTTACTGAGAAACCGATTCCGCTTTACAGAGCCTGGGACTGTGGCTCCTGACAGGTTAACGAGAGGGCACAAGGGCAAGAAACTCCAGCGCGACGTGCTCCGTGCTCCGTTTTGAAAGCAGATAAAGCTCCCCTCCGAGTTAAGGGGATAGTCACCCTGCTGGGATAAGGAGAGAGCATGCTGCCTGAAGACAGGGTGCTCATACTGTTTCCATTCATTTAGGAGAGCACAGCACTGCTCCCATCCCTGGCCTCTTTTCTTTCTCACTTATTAGGCTTTTTGCTTCATGCAAACTGTGGCTGGAGTTTGAAGGATCCAGAATTTAGGATATAGGGTGGGCCCTTCACGAGGGGAGCGACCGTGGCTCAGCCAACAGCACAAGATCCCCTTCAAGATCCAGAATGTATGCCAACACCGTTGTACCCCTTTTCCTTTTCCCGGCTCCCCCTGCAAGCTACTGCTTCTCAGAGTGGGCAGCTGCGCTTACTCCCTGACCTCTGGCTCCAGGCACCTTGGACTGCAGGCTTCACCTGTTCGGTAGAGGAATGAGCTGACCCTGGCCCAGAGGAATGCTGCCAAGTATCGGCGTGGAGAAAGGCTGCTCACATTTCCCCTACAGAAGCAGTGCCTGAAACCTAGGCACATAGTACAGGAAACTCACTATGGCCTGACCTGGCAAAAGACATCTTTAAAAACCCATCAGAAATGAGTGGGGACCAGCACAGATGACCCAATGGCCAAAGGATAACCCCACATCAACTTTACTCTGAGGCTTAGGGTGCGTTTTATGTTGCTGTTTGGGATAAAGGGGTCCCTGGTGGAAACTAATTCACAACACTTCTGACAAGATAATGAAGTCCATGGTGAAAGCATCTTTGAATAGGAGAGAACCCCCACCCTGACCAGCTCCCCAGCCCTCACCATGCTTGCTACTGCTCCCGGCTTCTTGCCAGCAATGGGCAGTCCCACCCTTACCCCTCCACCCCATGGGCATAGCAAAAACAGAACAGTTTTAGGTGTGTACAACCCTCCCCGCTCATTTTGCAGGCCAGAAAAACTGGGGGCAATGAACAGAGTTAGGCCGAGATCTAACTTTCGCAGCTTTGGGTCTGGGTCCTGGATCTCCTTGCTCTTCCCACTAAAACAAGCCGTCAAATAAATGTGATCGGGATCAGCAACTACTGAGGCATTGCCATGCTGCAGGACTCCAGGATTTGACAGCAAAGCTCTGAGATCAAGGATACCTTCCACTCCCCAGAAAAGCTATTCCACTGGGCCCGCCAGGCAGGTTCCGGTTCAGATTCTGATAGCTACCAGCATGCAAGTGACAGAGGGCAGAGACTACCTGATACTTCCCTGTGCCTTCCAGGGTGCTTGCCTGACACCCAAGAGGCTCCAGTTGATGTGTTAAGGAGCACAGAACAGTGAAGAGGCTCTGTCAGGCTTTTGAAAACTAGGCTGCCTTTCTCAACAATTCTCCCTGCACCTTTAGCTCAATTACCTAGTGACCATAAGCCTGTCTCTCCATCATTTCAGTAGAATGAAAATAACACTTAAGCCAAAAATGGATATATAAAAGAATCTAGCCGGCCGGGCGCGGTGGCTCAAGCCTGTAATCCCAGCACTTTGGGAGGCCGAGGCGGGTGGATCACGAGGTCAAGAGATCGAGACCATCCTGGTCAACATGGTGAAACCTCGTCTCTACTAAAAGTACAAAAAATTAGCTGGGCGTGGTGGCACGTGCCTGTAGTCCCAGCTACTCAGGAGGCTGAGGCAGGAGAATTGCTTGAACCCGGGAGGCGGAGGTTGCGGTGAGCCGAGATCGCGCCATTGCACTCCAGCCTGGGTAACAAGAGTGAAACTCCATCTCAAAAAAAAAAAAAAAAAAAAAAAGAATCTAGCCAAACTCAAAACAAAAATGATTTTTTTTGAATATTCATGTTTAAAACGCCACCATCTTTAGACTTTAAGTCTGTGGGTTACCCATAGCTTTTGGGTTTTGTGAAAATAGAAATTTGCATGAACTTGTCTGTAGGGGAATCTGCATTTCTTGACAGACCTTCTCACTGAGCTCTCATAAAAGGACTCTACTGAAGGGTGTCAGCTTGCAGGGGTGGAACACAGCTGGCAGCCTGTAAATGCCCAAGGTAGGGCCCACTTCACAGGGATTTTCTCTGCTGAAATGAAGGAGAATGCAGAGGCTTCCTGTGAGGTTAGAACTAGAGCGACTTGCTTCCTGGGTACTACCTGTTCCATACTAGCAAGGGGCTGGCCAGAAATGTCACTCCCCAGACCCATCCGTAAGGGTGGTAATGGCCTGTGGCTGATGAGCGTGTAACCCATTAAAGCGAACATGAGTTATGAATGGTGACCATGGAGAAAGGGCAAGGAACGCTTTGGGAATTGCACCAGAGGCCCTGCCTCCCACTGGGCTGGACATGCAGTTGGGGAGGCGGGAAAAGGCCGACTCCAGACACTGCTTCCTCGGAAGGTGAGGCTGGGGCAGGGGTACAGGTTCTCCTTGGAGCGCCTGTTCTCTTTGGTCAGAAGGTGGCAGCTGAGAAGCGGTCACATGGAAGGTGTGTGTTGGATGTGCGTGCACATGGAGGAGAAATGGCCCGTGGAATGTCTGGTGCCCTTCCGCGCCACCTTCTCCCGGTCAGCACAAGTTCTCTGTCAGGGGCATTTCCAGGCCCCTTACCTCTCCAGGTCCCCTCACCCATCTCTCCCCTAACACTGTAACACTTAACAGTGTGTCCGAGGCTCACAAGTATCCACTCCCTGCACAGCCGCCCACATAGGGTCGGTCATCCAAAGCTTGACACTCAAGGCACTGAAAGTGGAAGAAGGAATCTGATTGGTCCAAGAAAAAAAAAAAAAAAAAGACACTTAAAAAACCAAAACCTGTCTCTCAAGCCCCCTGGAAGGTGGCCTCCAACCAACTGATGAGCCCTAGGGTAGGAAAGCAGAGCCTAAGGGCCAGGCCCCTCCCTAACCCTATCCTAGCTCACCGGTAACAGGTCTGGCAACCTGAATGTATAAAATGGATTCAAAGTGCTTGGAGGCTGAGAGTAATGGAAGGTGTTAGGAACCCCGTGGAGAAGAATAGGTACCACCTTTTCTTTCCACTGGGACTTGTATTTAGGTGGGGGAATCCCTACAGCTTTTCTTTCCAAATGAGGTTTTCATTGTTTTTCCGTTTCCTCCTACAGCACCCCCACCCCTACCTCACCACTCCCTAAACCAGCTCAAGAGTTAAAGCCAGGAAGTGGGGCAGGTGGCGGGGGAAGAGGCTTGGGTGGCTCCCTCTAGTGTTGGTTCTGGACGCTGCTGTGTGGCACACAGTGGTCTCTGGTCCATCAGGATGTGGTCCTTATCTTTCTTTCCCCACCGGGACCCTGACTTAGCTGGCTGGCCCCACATAGGAGAAGGAAAGCGGGCAGTGCTGCCGGGGATTCCTGGATCCCTCTGCATGCTGACAGACAGATGTCCACAGTGGGCAGCCAAGGTGACTGGCATTTTGATCCCAGCTGAATGAAGGCTGGATTTGAATGCAGTGCCAGGGCTGTTCTGTAGACAAGAGCGAAAATAAATCCAAGCTCCCTTCTGCAGTACCCTGAGGAAGGAGAGATGCCCCCAGGGCACGAGTGCCGACAACAGAGGGACTGGCCAGCCTCTCCTGTTTCCACCCGTCTGTGCCACCGCCACCCCCTCCCATACTTCATGTCCCTAGGCCAAAGTCTGCCCACCCCTGGGTACCCCCATTTCCACTTACAGGAGATCAGAGGGGTGGGATAGAAAGGGAATGCTAAAAAGTGCCCCCTCTGCTCTTCCCCAACCTTCACTTTCCCTGTCCCCATTCTGGGGCCAGGCAAGAGTGCAGGTCAGAAGAGGACACATCCTCCCGAAGAAGAGGGAAGGGCAGGCCCAGGAGGCTGGGGCATGCACAGAGCACCATCCTCGGGACGGGGTGTTTCTGGGAGACCTGCTCCCCACCTGCCACGGTGGGAGGAGGAAGGCTGGTCCGAGAAGGGAGCAATGAGCAATGCCCCTGAATATCAGGGAACAGCTGTGAAAGCCTTCTCCTCTGCCCCGCAGAGATGCCCCAGCCAGGCTCTGGCCCCTACACGTGAGTCTGCATGCGCTGCTGGAATCGCTGGCCGTAGTCCGAGTGCTGGGAGGTGTAGGAGAATCGAGTGGCTGTGGCGTACTTGCCAATGGGATCGTACGCCTCATATGGGGTCCGCTCCAGGCCAGAGGGTGGGGCCTGGGGGTAGCCCAGTCGGTAGGTGGGGTACCCAGCTGCCCCAGGGAAGGGATGGGAGTTGAACTTCTCATAGTTCTCGTAGGACAGCTGGCTGGTTGTGTCGGTGCCAGCGGGGGCCGCAGGGCCAGGGGGTGTGGGCTCAGGGCCGTAGTCAGAGGCAGGGGCCCGGCTGTAGGTGTTGAGCTGGGCATAGCCGCTGGAGTGGGAGAGACGGGATGAGGGGCGGCCGTCGAAGCGGGCAGGGCCAGGGGCACGGTAGTCAGCATAGAGCACTGCCCTGGAAGACGGGCGGTCTTCGTGGGCACGCACGTTGTAGTAGCCATTGGTGGGGTCCTGGGGGCAACGAGAGAAGAGGATGGAGGCAGTGTGCCCTCTCGGGTGGTGATTAAGTCTCTCCACGGCCTTCTGAGCCGCCTCCTCCTGCTCTCCCCATGTCCCCATCTAGTATTCCACCTCCTCTGCTCCTTCAAAAACCCTCCCAACCACTGCTCCCCAAGTCTGTCCTCGCCTCCCCGCTGCGGGCCCTCGGAGACCCACCGTCCACTGGCCCTGGTGCCCTGGCCCTTCCCCTTTCCGCACCTTCATCTCATACTCCTCCCGGGTGTCGATGGTGTCACAGCGCAGGTCCTGCTTCAGATCCACGTCATCCTTAAAGGACTGCGGAGCAGCAGGAGTGGGGCGTCACCCACTCTTGCCGCCTCTCACCAACCCCTCCCCACACTCAGAGGCCACCTGCTCACGGGAGGGGTCTGAAGGCAAAGGCAGACTTGAGCTCTGGGTCCTCTGAGCAGAGGCTCTGGGACATGGCAGAAGAGGCCAGAGACCTGGGTTCGAGCACTAGTGTTGCTGCTGATGTGTAATGTGACCTTGTAAATGTCACTGCCCCTCTCCAGGGCTGTTTCCTCATCTCGGCAATGAGGCAGATGGACCAGAAAGCCTCTGGGGGTTTCCAACTTTCACAGTCTGGGGGGGAAAAGACGAGGCAAAGGAAGTCTTTGGAGGACGCCACCTGCCTATCCTCTGCTGGAGGAAACCACCCTGGGGGTGTGTGCATGCGGGAGAGTATGTGTGGCAGGACCCGGGAAGGCCAGCGGAGGAAGGAAGAATGACAGTGGAAATTACAGCTGGGATGGAGCTGGTCCTCAGAGGGTGGAGAGGGCAGGAGGCCGGGGAGGAGCAGGACCCTCACCGAGTAGATGGCCTTCATGACCCGGGTCGCTGTGGAGACGCTGGCGGTGTCATCTTCCCGGTCAGAATGCATGGTGAGTGGCTCTCGGTTCACTGTCTCCACCTTGATATCCAGCTTCCTCAGGGTCACATCCTTGCGACCTGGGATGGGAGAGGCGGCCTGGACCAAGTGCTTCCTGCTGGCCTCTGCAGTGGCTGCTTCTGGCTCCCTCTGAGCTGGAGCTCAACAGCCAACCCCTCCATCCATCCCGAGCACTGCCTGTCGTGGCCCCAGAAGGGCCGGGGGAGGCTGTGGGCTGCACAGGGCCCATACTCACTGCCTTTGCGGCGCCGGTAGAGGAAGAATACCAAGGCGATGAAGAAGAAGATGAGCAGGATGCCGGCACCGATGGTGGCTCCAGCTATGATGCCCACAGGTAACACCTCTTTCAATGGGGAAGGAAAGGTGGAGGGGTGAGGCTGGAGTTATACTGGGAGCTAAGCTCAGTACTGGCTGAAGGCTAGGCCACAGCTACAGAGGCAACCCTGGCTTGTGTACAGGGCTTTTTGATTGAGCCTGGGGACAGCGTTAGGTTTAAGTCAAGGTTGGGTTTGAGAGGAAGGTCTGCATTGTGGTCGGATTCTGTCTGTGCTCCAGTTCCATCAGAGTGGAGATCACAGACAAGTCTCATCCCTGCAGCTGGGGCGGGAGTGTGCCCCTGGCCATGGTTGTCTGTCTATCCCTGTCCTTCAGCCCACATGCCTGAGGCTTGGCTCCTTGCTCTTGTTTGAGGTTGGCTGTGTCCAAACTCTCCAGTCTGCCACACATGCTCTTTGACCACCTTCCCATCCATAATACCATGTGACTGCCCCATTTGCACTATCTCCTCAGGGCTCTAAGAGTTTTCCTGGTTTCCTCTGCTTCCCAGAGCCGAGGAGGAACTCAGGAATCCTGCCTCCAGCCTTCTCTCTCTTCCTAGCAGTCCTGGCTGAATCCAGATCCTGCTTAGAGCTCTTCCCTTCTGAGACCCTTCCCTGTGGAGCCCCACATTACCGTATCGACTCCATTCTTCTCCGCCCCAACGCCCTGCTGGCATCCCCAGTTAAGACTGAACTGATGGGACGCTGTCATTTTCCATGGGGTTCCCCATCTTCTATGTCAAATGGTTAGTTCTCAAAAAACGAAAAAATGCTAGTCTCCTCCTGGGACATGGGAGCTTCCAAAAGTCAAAGGAATACCTCTTTTATCATGTGAGAAATGCCTTAAAGGAGAGAACACTTCTCTGTTAGCAGAGTAACAATTCTTGAAGAGGTAGGGGGGCCCATACTTACTGAACACCTATTATATGCCTGGTATTTTGTAAATATTCTCTCACTTCATCCTCACAAGCCAGTGAGATAGGCAGTGTTATTCCCGTTTACAGTTCATTTGATTCTTCTCCATTTGAATTCATTTGCTACCACTCTGTAAGTCCTTCCACTACACTGAAAGTTTCTTGAGGTCAGGGACTGTGTCTTGTTCACAGCACTTCCTGCAGCCCCCAGGGCAGAGCCCAGCACATAGCAAATGCTCAGTAAACTTCAATAAAGTGAGGGAATTTCCCCAGTTGAGCATGGAGGCCAGGTTCTGGTGGGGAGGCCCTAAAGAGTTCTTTCCCTCTGGAGTTAAGATCCCTCTGGAAACTGATGCACAGACTCTTAGAATAGGCAGGAACCAGAGGGGAGCAGCCCAAACCCCTTCACTCCTGACCTCCCAGTCGGGACATCCCCTGCGTCTTCCCTCCCTCAGAGCAGAGCTCAAGGGAGGGGAAGCAGCTGAGCCCCGCCCCTGGAGAAAAGAGGGAGCAGAATCCTCAGGCTGCCTTGCACCCCAGTTGGCAGGCAGCACTGCCAGTCACCTCGCTCTTCCAGCTGGATGATGGCTGTGCCCGGCCCGAAGCTGTTCCAGGCAGTGCAGTTATAGTGGGTCTGAAAGTCAGCCTCCATGACATTGTTGATGGTGAGCGTGGATAGCACCCCACTGCCCGAGTTGGTCCTCTCCACTGTATAGCGTTCCAGGGTCCCCATCTCCAAGAAGTTCTCCTTCCATGCCCATGCCTGCGGTGGAGAGGGCAGGAAGGAGTTAAGAAAGGGGTAGGTGGCAGAAGCCCATGCCCACGTGCCCGCTGATCCACCCTCAAGGCACCCTCACCCCTATGTACCATGTGTGCCCCCCAAGCCCAGCCTAACACCTCCCCGTAACAAACCTAAGTCACACCTACTGCCCCACACCCTCGACACTGACTCTGCACTCAAGAGGGGAGCGGTGGCTCTCAAACACGGCTGACATCAGATTTCCCTAGGAAGATGCTTTCAAATATAAATTCTTGGGACTATGTCCTAAATAGGAATCTCCAGGGAGGAGAATCTCTATTTTCATAATGATCGCGTGTGATGTGGATGAAGCTGACCCAATGAACCAACACTGGGAACCCCAGATGCAGAAAAAGTTCTGCACTGGTCCTCAAGAACGCTGGGCTCTTCTCCCCATCAAGCCCCCGTGTGGCCTCCCTGTCCCTCTCTAGGCCTCATTTTCTTCATGTAGACATTGACAGAACCAGGCTAGGGCTAGACAATGCTCAAGGTTTCTTCCATCTCTGATAGTCTGTGATTCTCTTTTTTTTTTTTTTTTTTTGAGACAGAGTTTCGCTTTTGTTGCCCAGGCCGAGTGCAATGGCACAATCTCGGCTCACCACAACCTCTGCCTCCCAAGTTCAAGCTCTTCTCCTGGCTCAGCCTCCCGAGTATTACAGGCATGTACCACCATGTCCGGCTAATTTTGTATTTTTAGTAGAGATGAGGTTTCTCCATGCTGATCAGGCTGGTCTCCTGACCTCAGGTGATCCACCCTCCTCGGCCTCCCAAAGTGCTGGGATTACAGGAGTGAGCCACTGCGCCCAGTCTGATTCTAATTTAGTGCAACTCAATCTTTAGGCGTATCTTGAACCAACACACACGATCTGCCTGGCTGGCACTGGAGACTGATCCACAGACTCATAACAGGCAGAACCCACAATGGGGTATCCCCGGACCCCTCCATCCCTGACCCCTCAGCCGGGCCATTCCCCTGTGTGGCCCCTTCCTCAGAGTGGAGCCTAGGGGAGGGGGAGCAGCTGAGAACTGGCTCCTTTCCAGGGATCAATCCTCCTAGATCTGCAAGGAAAGCCCCCCGGGAGTCCAGCCGCCTGCTGCCCGGGCGGCCGTGGTAATGAAGTGTCCCTGGGCAGCCCTGGAGTTAGCCAAATGGTCATTAAATGTGATGAGGGGTTTGACAGTTAATGGTCACGGAAGGAATTAATGGCTCATGGTGTAGGGGAGAGGAGACAGGAGGGAGGAGAGTGGTAAAGCAAAGGGGCTGGTGGGAGGAAGGCGGGAGGGAGAGAAGAGTGGGCCAGGCAGGCGGGAGAACTGATGGGGAGGAAGGAAGAGGGAGAAGCCGGGGGAGGAGGAGACAGGGAAGTGGGCGGGGGCAAGGAAAAGAGCAGGAGGTCCATGACGGGGCAGACGGGGGGGGGGGGGGGGGGGGAGAAGAGGGGGAGAGTGGGGGAGCTAGCACGAACTGAGAGCTGGCCTAGGCGTCTCACACCTGTTGCTGCCATGATTCTCCCAGCAACCCCGTTAGGTAGGAGTTATTGCCCGTTTAATAGATGAGAAAACTGAGTTTCAAAACACTACGTAATTTGCCCAGGGACACATAACAAGTAAGGGAGGAGGTGGGGTTTGAGCAAGTAAAGGGACAGAGGGACAGAAGGCAGAAGACTCAAGGATGGAAACGGGACGGGGACATTGAAGGAGCGAAACCAGCAGAGGCCAGAGGAGGCCGGGCCTGGGCAAAGAAGCAGGACTTGGGCTGCCCGCAGGCGGGCCCGGCACTTACTATGCGGTCTGGGGGTGGTGTGCTGCCAATGAAACACTCCACCTTGCCACCGTCACCCCTCACGGCGTACTGCACCGCCTCACTGGAGATGATGGGGGGCCCTGCGGGCAAGAAGCCACGAGTCAGAGCCAGTTAGAAGCCGCAGTGCCGGCCCACCCAGGCCCGGCTGCCTCTCCGGCCACTCACTCACCGTTCACATACAGCGGCACCTCCCGCTCGGCCACTCCGATTCGAGGCACGATGGCCCGGCAGGTGTAGGTGCCAGCGTCTGCTTGAGTCACCGACTTCAGCAGCAGCTGGTTGCTGTTACTCAGGACCTGGGCAGAGAGAGCAGCCTCGGGTGGGGAGCCAGGAGGCCTGGGCCCCTAGGTCCATGAGGGCCCCACATCAGAGGCATTGAAAAGAAAGCAGGAAGGGCCACAAGTGAATTCCCAGAAGGGAAACGGGGTTCCCGAGTCCATTTGGTCCATGCCCTGACTACAAAGGTTGGCACGTAGGTACACCTATAGCTCTGCAAGAGTGGGCAGGGATGGGGTGGAGGCCAGAGAGGGCAGGTGGAGGCTGCGATCATTTTAGGATTAGCCTCTTCTGATGATCTGTTCTAGTATTTTCCTTGCCAGGTGCGGTAGGACATTTTACTCTGAGATTCCTCTTCCTGCAGTTCTGGTCCACATGATCTAACGGGGGTCTCTGAGGAGCTAAAGACCACTCCAGCCTTCTCTAGCGAATCGCCTCAGCTTCCCCACCGCCCTGTGGGCGTTATTTACCAGACCTTTGCCACTGCAGCAGGCCCGCCCCAGGCCCTCCTTCCTCCCATCCCACCCTGCTTCCCATGCACAGCGGGGTCTGTCCCCCAGTGCTTCTGAACTGGCAGCTGTCCTGTGAGAAGAGGTGGGGATAACCGCGTAAGCACTGTGTCTCTCCTCCAAATCCCAAGACCCTAGAAATAGCCCAAGTGTAATCTGAAAGGTAACGCTGCAGCCCCCCCGACTCCTCGGCCCCCATCTGTGGCCACGCCCCTTCCCCCCAGCATTCAGAATAGGCAGTTAAGAGTCTTACCATGTTTGAGTCCTTTTTGGTCCAGGTGAGAGTGAGGGGGGGATTCCCAACCCAGACACAGGTGAGGGTCACATCAGAGCCAATGTCTGTGGTCGTGGGTTTGGGGTCAACTACAATCCGGGGGGCAACTGTGAGGGAGAAAGAAGCCACCTGTTAGAGTCTCAAGCTCATGGAGTTAATGCCAATCAATCTTCCTCCTCCTGTCCCGATACCTCCCTGGAGGAGGCATCCCTGACTCTGCCCCAGGCCCTTCGGTGGCCCCTGCTCTCTGTCCCCATCCCTGCCCGCCCAGCTACTCACAGTGGACATTTACTAAAGTGCTGACATTGGTGCTCCCCACTTTGTTGTGAACCTCACAAGACACAGGCTCCGTGAAAAAGGAATAATCCACATTTGTCTCATAGCGACTCTCATGGGCATCTTCAATCAAGAAACCTCCTTTGGCCCACCTGGGGGAAGGAGGCAACACAGAGGTGGGATCAGGGCTCACACCCTCCCGACTACACCCACAACACTGGCCTCCCCAGTACAGGCTCCAGCCCCGACCTCTTCCGTATCACTCCCCAGAGTGCTCCCAGCCTCTGACCCCCTCACCTGTAGCCCAAGATCTCAGGGTTGGCCGTGGCCTGGCAGGTAAAGACGACACGCTCACCCTCCTGCACCGTCTGTGGCTCGATGGACAGGGTCACTGTAGGAGGGTCTGCAAAGTCGAGAACAGAGAGTCAGGGTCTTTTCTGTCCCTTGAGTTTCTTTTTCCCTCCCTAACACATACACTCAGACCTGATCACTCTGGGGGGCATCTGGGAATTTGAGGTTGCAGTGAACCAGCTCCAGTAAACAGGCTCTTTCTCTCCTTTTCCACACGGAGCCTCTAGGGGCACGCTAGGGTGACCAAGGAAGGCACCAAAGGGACAAATAAGGCAATGGACTAATGACCCGCTGTGGCCACTAGGCGTCAGTGTGGGCTTGCTTGGCTCCCTAAAAGGGATGGGGTGTGGGCATCTCCAGTTGCTGCCCACACCTCCATGGCTCCCTGGGCAGAGATAATTTATGACACACCTACCAGGTAAGAATACTCCATGCTAGATGCTCTCCTGCTACATCTCATTTAATGCTCACAACCCCAGGAGGCAGGTCCAGGTCCACAATCCCTTATCTGAAACCCTTGGGACTAGACGCATTTCAGAATTCAGAATGTTTCAAATGTAGAAAAGCAACGCTGTGCCCAGGCGTTTACTGTGTAAGATCCCCAGCAGCGCCTGAGTCACATCCCATAGCCACACATATGAATCCATCTGCAGTGAAACTTAAGACTGAATTAAAGACTATGAAGAGCCTTGGTTCGGGCTTTGTCACCAAATCACTTTTAGTTTGAATAAGCGACTGTAAGCCAGTATTTTATTTTTTGCAATATACAGTACACAGAATTGGAAACTGAGGCCCAGAGGGCGTAAATCATTGACTAATAACAGGCTGGTTTAGACCTGGGGACGGCCTGACTCCACAGCCAATGCTCTCTACCAGTCTTTAGTCCCCACGGTTTAATCCAGGGAATGAAAGATGTGAAGAAGGCGAGCGTCTGTCCCGGAGACCACAGGGAGACTCTTAGTTTGTACTTCTCAAAAGGCTGGCTACATTCTCCTCCAATCCCCCTGGCTCCAGACTGCTCCCCCCACGCCACTCACGGTGCACGTCCAGCTCAATGGAAGTCTCTCTGCCATTGGGGATGGCCTCGTTCATGCTTCGGCAGGTGAAGACACGCCCAATGTCTAGGTCTGTGGGGTTAATGAGCAGCTGGCTCACAGTGGTCTCCCTCTTTCCATCCTTCAGCAACTCCTGGGACATGACAAGGGTGGGAGACATGGTCACACCAAAAGCCCCCTCCTCTGCTCTTAAGGCGACCTGACTCAGAGATGGGCTTGGGCTAGAGGAGGGGTACTTTAACTTAAAGCTCACCCCCCTTCACTCCCACAACCTCTTTTCGGTGTGTGTGTGTGTTTAAGCAATAGACAATTCATTCTTTTTAATGAAAAATTATATATTTTAAGGGTCTTGCTATGTTGCCCAGGCTGGCCTCCAACATCTAGAATCAAGAGAGCCTCTTGCCTAAGCCTTCTCAGTAGCTGCGACTACAGGAGTGTGCCACTATGTCCAGATCATAGACTATCTTTTGGAGCGAAGTTTACCGAAAAATTGAGCAGAAAGTACAGGGAGTTTCCATATATCTCCTCCCCGACCTTAGTGTTTTTCCCATTACTAACACCTTGTGTTAGAGTGATGTCTGTTACAGCTGATGGACCAAAACGAACATACTATTACTAAAGTCGACAATTCACATTAGAGTTCACTCTTGTGGGCCCAGCACAAATCCCTTCTCTTCTGGAAAGCCTTCCTCAGCCAGCCCAGCCCCAAGGACTGTCTCCCACAGTGAATTTATGCCCTTACAGGAACTGTGTCCTGCTCACAGCTCTAGGCACATCCAGCCTTGCTCGTAGGCCCCATGTGTGAGTGTTTCAGGGTTAGGTTTCTTCTGCTAAACTGTACACTCCTTGAGGGCAGGGAAGGGACTCAGGCTTGAGGTTCTCACACTTGCTCAGTGATAGGCAAAGGTCCTTAAATAGGGTCACATGAGCTGTTTCCCATATTGCAAACGGCCTGAGGTAAGCCATATTATTAATCCAAGGAAGGTGTGGCTAACACTTCCCTGTGGCTGGATCACCATGCATGCTGCTTTGCTGCTGGACAGGGATGGTTCAGGGCCAGCGCGGGATCACTGGCCGCCTCGTGCAGCCCTGAAGCTTCACTGTTTTTAATGAATATGAAAAATGGGGTGGATGACAAACGGACGTTAACAAACCAACTTGTTTTGTTGCCAAAATATCGAAGAACACGTAGCCCTGATGATGAAAAAGAACAGTTTTTGGTTGTGAAAAGGTTAAGTACCACTGAGGCCAAATGATCATTTGTCAAATGAGAAACTAAGGCCAGAGAAAACTGAAGGGAATTGTCCAAGGTTACACAGTGTGCTCAGGGCAGAACTGAAGCCAGAATCCAGGTATCCCTGGAGCTGCATGCTGAGGAATGTGGGACCATCTCTCCCCACACTGAGAAGTGCTCCTGCAGCACCAGCAAAGGGCTGAATCCACATATGTTTACCCATGGTTGGCAGGATGACCCCAGACAGGAAACCTGGATTGGAATTTCAGCGGTACTGTCCACTCTGCTATGTCATCCTGGGCAAGTCACTTGATATCTTTCACGGCTTCCTCATCTATACAAGGATCCCTGCTTCCCCAGCCTCTTTGTTAGGATGACTGGAATAATCTGACAACCAGATGCTGAAGGAAAGAGGCAGAAGTAATCAGTGGAGAGAAAGCACAGTCAGACCCAGGTACAAACCCCAGCTCTGCTGCTTCCCAGCTGTGTGACCTTGGACAAGTCACTCAACCTCTCTGAGCACCAGTTTCCTCTTTGGTAAGTTGGAAATAATGCCTTCTTTATGGGACTCCTACGAAGATTAAGAGAGACTGTCCATAAAGTGCTTAGCATGCACCATGTCTAGCACACAGTAGGTGGTTAATTCATGGCAACTTATTATTTCTATTAGTCTCCGCTCAGCTACTGAATGGCACGGTAAACCTGGGAATTCATTTCTCTTCTCTGAGTTTCAATTTTCCCAACTGTAGAATGAGTGGGTTGAACCAGATGACCTCTAGGACCCCTCTCATGTCTGCGTGCCCCTGAGTCTGTGGTCAAACCGCTGCGGGAAAGGAGAGGTGAGCTGGGTGAGGCCCAGGAGGAGCTGGGGGAGCTGGCCGGAGCTCACCGTGCTGGCCACAGCGCCCTCCTGCTGCGTCCCGTCCCGGAACCAGATGATGGTGGCAGCAGGCTTCGCATTGAAGGCCCGGCATGTGAGGTTGTGGGGGGTGCCTGCCTGCAGTAGAATCACAGGGCCTCCGTCAATCCGGGTGTCCTCTGGGGGGACTGTGGGAGAAAGCAGAGCAAAGTCAGCGCAGGGCGTGGCTAACACTTCCCTGACGACCAAAACTCCTGGCTCTGGAAGCATCCTTCCACCAGCAGGTGCGCCTCTAGGTAGGCAGGACCACCCCGCCCTAACCTACAACCACCGTCTTCACTGCTCTTGCAGTGGCTTCACCTGGATTCTCAGCTCACACATCTTTCCCAGTCCTTGTCTGTTTTTCTTTCCTGGCCTGTAATAGTTTCCGGTACTACATGCCCTTACTATTTTTGTTTGTTTTTGTTTTTGTTTTTGTTTTTGAGACGGAGTCTTGCTCTGTGGCCCTGCTGCAGTGCAGTGGCACAATCTCAGCTCACTGCAACCTCCGTCTTCTGGATTCAAGCGATTCCCCTGCCTCAGCCTCCCAAGTAGCTGGGATTATAGGTGCCCACCACCTCTCCCGGCTAATTTTTGTATTTTTTTTTTCTTTTTTCTTTTTGAGACAGAGTTTCGCTCTTGTTACCCAGGCTGGAGTGCAATGGCACGACCTCGGCTCACCACAACCTCCGCCTCCTGGGTTCAGGCAATTCTCCTGCCTCAGCCTCCTGAGTAGCTGGGATTACAGGCACACGCCACCATGCCCAGCTAATGTTTTTTATTTTTAGTAGAGACGGGGTTTCACCATGTTGACCAGGACGGTCTCGATCTCTTGACCTCGTGATCCACCCGCCTCGGCCTCCCAAAGTGCTGGGATTACAGGCTTGAGCCACTGCGCCTGGCTAATTTTTGTGTTTTTAGGAGAGAGTAGGGGTTTCACCACGTTGGCCAGGCTGATCTCAAACTCCTGACCTCTCAGGTTATCCACCTGCCTCAGCCTCCCAAAGTGCTGGTATTACAGGCATGAGCTGCATACCCCTACTTTTGCTCAGAGCTACAGATGGAAGCCTCAAACTTAGGTAAAGGGCTGGGCTATCTCAGGCTCTAAGTACAGCTCACATCCTTGGGAGTCTGGCTCGGAAAGGTGACCACCTCCACAGGACTCCTGGCATCCTCCCTCCTGTCTGCTCCTCTGCCCTGGTGCTGCCAGATGGGCCAGCCTATTCCAGTAAGCTCCATATCACACTGCTAGCAGGCTTTCTTCCCTATAGCACAGCTAAGAATGTGCCACTCCCCTGCTCAAACACCTTCAATGGCTGCAACTGTCTAGGGCATCAGTTCCAAGCATTTCAGCCTCCTGTTCAGGGTCCTCAAGCCAAGACCTGCAATGCCCTGCTTTCCATATGGCATGCCCTTTTCCCACAGCTTCTGTTGAAGTGTTTCCCATCCTGTTCAAATCCCAGCGGATGCACAAGGCTTTCCATGCCGCAGCCCACCCACACCGTGGAGGCCCCCACCAGTCACTCAGAGCTCTTAGCCATCTGCCTTGCATTTGGTTCACTTCTAACAGTATCTATCCCTGCCCCAACCAAAACTGTTATCCCTGGAAAAACAGCAACCCTGTCTCACTAATATTCATATGGTCACCAGTGCCTAGAATGTGACCAAAGTCGGCTCTTGCTAAATGTTCACAGAATTGAATTGACCGATGTCTGATGCTAGCAAATAACGGGGGCTCTCCCTGCCCTGTCTCCATAGGCTTCTAAGGTGAACCAGACTGTAAGTTCCCTGAGGGTAGGGGCTGCTTCTGTTATACTATCAACCCTTCAATGTCTAGCCCAGAGCTTGGATGATCACAGGTGCTCAGGGATATCTGCTGAACTAATGAATGGATGCTGATGAAATAAAGGCAGAAAGATTTTGATTATAATTTTTTTTGGTCCACCCAGCGTTCATCAACCAGAAATGAGAAAGGAACTCCTAGGTTTAAGCAGTCCTCCCACCTCAGCCTCTCAAATTTCAGAAACTACAGGCACACACCATCATGCCCTGCTAATTTTTATTTTTTGTAGAGAAGGGGTTTCTCTATGATGCGCAGGCTGGTCTGAAACTCCTGGGCTCAAGCAGTCCTCCTACGTCAGCCTCTCAAAGTGCTGGGATTACAAGCATGAGCCAGCGTGTCCCACCAATAAAAGATTTTGTTTGCCTCTTTCTGAGAAAGACAAGAAAGACTCAGAGGAGGGTCCAGATGGAACACTCGAGAAGGGACCCAGGGAGACCCACGGTGCCCAGTGGTGGCCAGGGCTGTCCTAGAATTGACACAATGAAGGTCTCCATGCTGGGTTTCCAGTAGAAAGAAACTACTCACAACCTGTCTTAGCATTCTGTTCAACTCACATATGCCTAGTGGTATAGTGAGAGAAGAATAAAAATAATAAAAATAAAACCAGGCTGCCTGGTTTCAAATCCTGGCACCTTTTGTTTACCTGCCTTGTGATCTCAGATGAGTTCCTAAAGTCTCTGAGTTTCAGCTTCTTCATCAGAGAAGAAACCAAGACATAGCAATGTGTACTCACTGGAGCCTCGTGAAGGCCAGATGAGATACGTACACAGACTAAAATGTGCAGGGCATGTGTGAGGTATGGAATGTATTCACCTTGCTGCCTGGACGAGCGGAGCGGTGGCTCCACCTCCTGCCCAGCCAATCACCCTCTGAATCCCTGGCTCCTCCTCCTTGTTCTGTGGTATATCTGGTTCCAATGCCAGGTGGGGGCAGGTGTAGGGATGGGGATCGGGAGAAGCTTGAAAAGTAGAGAAAGGTGGAGAGAAACGAACAAAGAGCTGCTGCTCAGGGCCTCCTGGTTTTCTCGGGGCCCCTCTAAGGCCACATGTTGCTGCCACCCCCAGGAGGAAGATCCTGGATGGGCAGAGCCCCGAGGAGACGCCACGCTCAGGTGCGTGCCCAGGCGTGCGAACAAAGGGGAAGGCATCAGCTTCCTCTGCCCTGATAATGCCCCCTTCCGCTTTGTTCACACAAAGACTACCTATTTGTCACCTTTGCCAGCAGTCCACCTTTCTCTAGAATTTTCCAAACTCTTTGCCCATCCTCCATGAGCTCATCCTGCCCTTCAGCTCTGGGGCAAATGACAATAAAGCTGTTAAGGCACCTGCTGAGCCAGCCATTAGAGGGCATGAGTCTGTGTGTGCCTGTGTGTATGAGCAAGTTTTTATGATGTGTATACAATATGCTCATGTGCCCAAGTCTATGATCAAACGAGGCCTCAGTTTCCTCATTTTTTTAAATTTTTATTTATTATTATTTTTTTGAGATGAAGTTTCTTTCTTGTTACCCAGGCTGGAGAGCAATGGCGCAATCTCGGCTCACTGCAACCTCCGCCTCCTGGGTTCAGGCAATTCTCCTGCCTCAGCCTCCTGAGTCGCTGGGATTATAGGCACGCGCCACCATGCCCAGCTAATTTTTTTGTATTTTTAGTAGAGACGGGGTTTTACCATGTTGACCAGGATGGTCTCGATCTCTTGACCTCGTGATTCCCCCCGCCTCAGCCTCCCAAAGTGCTGGGATTACAGGCTTGAGCCACCGCGCCCGGCCTTGCTTGTTTATTAAACTTCAAAAATAACATGGACACCTACTCCCCAGAGTTGTTATTGTGGAGGCAAAGCAAAATGCAGAAGGTGCAGCCAACTGTCAATGGTGGTGGGATCAACAATAGTCATTTCTACCACCCGCTGAACGTTCATCTTGTGCCAGCCGAAGCGCCTCCTGTATATGACTTCATTTAATCCCTACCACAAAGTATATTCATTAATCCTTTCGTGGTAAATATCATTAACCCCAATTTACAGATAAGGAACGGAGGCTTGACGAGGATAAGCAGATGTGCTCAGAGACAGGACAGTGAGTTAGAGGGCAGAGCTGGAAGGTGGACCAGGCTTGCCTGACCCGGAAGCCACGCTCATCACCGTGGTTTTGGAGGTCTGTGTATCTATGTTGTGTCTGCATCTGTAGGGGAATGGGAGGCATACTGTCAAAGTCCTACCTTAAGGAAGAATGACAGAGGCCATTCTGTGAAGAAGGCTGCTCTGGGGAGCTGGAGGGCCACTACGGAGCATGGCTGGGGAGAAGGGGAGTCTGTGAGGCTGACAGCAATGCAGGGAGGCGGGTACCAGGCATCGGGCATGGCCCGCTCCTCATTTCTGCCCTGCCTAGTCTCTGGGTCCCTCAGTTGCTGTAAGCAAAGGCTGTAGGTAAGCAGGTATATAGGAAGGGGTGCGGGAAGTGTCATGTCTTCTTGTTGCCTCCGTGTGCTGCAGGTGGTAGAGTATTTCAGAATTTAAGAGAAAAGACAAGGAGAGGAGAGAGTGAGGGGAGAAGAGCAGCTGGACTAACCTTTCAGCTGAAAGTTGCTCCTGGGGCTCTCCCTGTTCTCTCCTCCGTCCGAATCACCCAGGCAGGCCAGCGAGGACCATACCTTCAGTACCCAGTGGGCTCCCCTGCTATGTCGCTCTCCCTCACTGGCCTGCTAGGTTTTCAGCAAGGCCCTCTTCCATCTAGGGTTCCCACTGATAATCTCCTTTTCCAGGTTCCTCCTTGAGTGACCCAAGCCCCTGGGTGCCATTGTAAGACATTGCTACAGCAACACTTAGTGGCTTAGTTCGCCTTTCTTCCTCTCTCTGTCTCTGTGATAAGGTAGGACAGAGAAGAGTATCGAGGCCCACTCATTAGGATGGGAGTTTTCCAGGGCAGCAGTAGCACCTTCCAGGGTCTAAGAGAGAGAGCGTTAGGGAGGAAAAAAGATGGAAGGAGGTTTCCTAAGAGTCTCATGGTTCCGTGGAACGCTTGGCTGAGCTTGGGGCTGACACGCTTCGGTGAGGGAAGGAAGATGATGTCTTGGCATTCATGCTCACCCTCTCATTTTTGCTGTCTAACCTCATTCCTGCTCCTTGCTAATTCTTCCCATTTTAGTCCTAGAGAGGAAAGGCAAATCATCCAACAGCCTTGACTCCTGGTCCCTCAGGGCCTTTACATCCAATGAAATCGGCTGTGGGGTCCCTCCAGTCCTCACTGATTCTGACACCTCACATTCACCCAGACCTTCACAGTTTACAAGTCCCCGTGCAGCAAAGCAGCAGTTGCTAAGAAAAGTCTGGTGTCATTATGCCATGTTACTGATGAGAAAACTCATGCCCAGAGGTTGTCACCTCTTTAGGATCATGATGCCAAAATGGCCAAGGTGCCCAGGTCTCCTAACCTCTGGCAGTCTAGGACTCCCTCTTCCCACCACACTCTGAGGGCTTGTCATGTTCTCACCTCCCTCCCTGCAAAAACAGACAAAAACAAAACAGAACAGGCTGGGTGCGGTGGCTCACACCTGTGATCCCAGAACTTTGGGAGGCCAAGGTCGGTGGATCACCTGAGCTCAGGAGTTCAAGACCAGCCTGGTCAACATGGTGAAACCCTGTCTCCACTAAAAAATACTAAAAGTACCCAAGCATGGTGGCGGGCACCTGTAATCCCAGCCACTCAGGAGGCTGAGGCATAAGAATCGCTTGAACCCGGGAGGCGGAGATTGCAGTGAGCCCAGATCGTGCCACTGCACTCCAGCCTGGGTGACAGAGACTCTGTGTCTCAAAAGAACCAACCAATCAACCAAACGAAGAACAGAAAACCTTCCTTGTGCCCAGTCTCCCTCATCTCAGCTCGTCTCTCCTTTCTCCCACCCATCTGGGGGGCTCCCACAAACTCAGTGATTTCAAGTTAAGGGGAAGGAAAAGAAAGGGGGGCAAAACGTATCAAACGGAGGCCAAAAAAAGGGACAGTGTCGATGAAACTAGGGAAGAAAGAGTCCCAGACGGACAGAGTCCCAGCCAAAGATAGAAAGCGCAACAGAGTCAGAGGCCCATTGAGACAAGTGGTGGCTTCAGAGGCACTGCAAGAGTGAGGCCTGGGGAGAGGCCGGGGGCCAGGTGGGCAGGGGGGTGAGGGGTGTGCTGAAGCTGGCCTCGTTCTGGTTCTGTGGCACTGCTGCAGGAGAGAGTCTCCTCATTATGCAAATGGCCTCAGGGGTTACCACAGAGGGACATCTGCTTGGTCCCCCAGTGGGTGGCTGCCTGGGCGCAGGACTTCCAAGAGCCAGCAGCCATCCAGACACAGCAAGATCCTAGCCTCCCACCCCTACCCCTGTTCCCGGCCTCCAGGCCCATTCCTTCCAGTCCTATTCCCCTGTTCCTGGAGGAGGCCCCCAGGTGAATCAGAGGCAGGGTGAGTGCTGAGGGAAGAAAGAAGGCAGCTGAGGGGAAGCAGGGCTGTGTAAGGCTGGGGTGCGGTGGAGGAGGGGCACAGGGGCCCTTTGACGCAGCTGAGAGGAAAGTCGAGGGGAGACAGAGGTCCCCTCAGCAACAAGCCTGCCAGCCAGGACAGCTGGGGAAGGAGGGCCCGGGTCTCCATCACCCCACACTTCCCTGCTCCTGTGGGGACAGGCTTGCTTCTAAAAGGCAGAAGGCCCCGTCCTTGAGTGGCCGAGGCACTCACACAGCCCACGTCCCGCAGCACCCCACCTCTCCCGCCTGCCTGCTTTCCTTTCCTCTACCTGGACTTGAGCATTAGGGCAGGGATGAGGCCAGCCACAGAGAGGGAGAAGCTGGGGAAATTAAAGCGCGAACTGGAAAGTGGGAGAGACCGCCAGGACACAGAGAGACGGGGCCTGGGAGTACTGAAGGGCGCCGGGGTCCTTACTGAGCACGGTGAGCTTGGCCCGCCGGGAGCGCAGGGCGGCCTCCGTTGCCTGGCATTCGTAAGAGGCGTCGTCAGAGAGCTCAGCGTCTGTGATCTCCAGGTTGTACTGTCCCGCGTCTGCGGAGCCCACGACCCGGTACCGTGGCCAGGCTGCAGAAACAGGAAGAGTGAGGCCCAACCTTGAAACAAGGACGCATCTTCAGCCATCCCATGCCAGCACGCCTTCCTCTGCCCTCTCCTGGGAACCCACTGGCAGGTGAGCAGGTGAGGCCCCAGACACAGACGCCTGATGCCACGACGCCCCATGGCGAGTCTGGGAGCCATACAGCCGGAGGAACAGACAGGAGCGCGGCTGAAGCTGGGAGGTGAGCAGGTGAAATCTCTGAGGCTGTTTGCAGACAAATGCCTCTCATACCAATAGGAGAGAAAGGAGAGAAAAAGGCACACAGCAGGGAGCAAAGGAGACAGGGAGAGAGGGAGAGCCAGTGTGTGGGCGCCAGGAAATAGAGGCCATCGCGGCACAGACGAGCTCACTGGAGCACCTCTGCGGGACTCAGAAGGCAGAGGGAAGCCTGAGGCAGGCCCAGGGAAGAAGGATGAGGCAGGGGCCCGCCAGCTCCCTGGAGGAGCCCCTAAACCAGAGTCCTGGTTTCCCGCAGACGCAGTGGCTGAGGCAGTGGGCTCTGCCCTCCTTCCTCCAGGCTCCCCCACCTCCTTCTGCTTCCCAGCCCTCCCGCCACGTTCCCACATCCGCTCCTTCCCGTGATCTCCCTCTATCCAGAGGCTATCGATTCTTCTCACTCCATATCTATTGATCTCACTCTCTCTCCCAGTTTCTTTCTCTTTCTATCATCAATAGATCCAGCAGATTCATCTCTTTCCCTTATATGGATGGCTCTACACAGACAAATTTTCCCTACCTGTACTAACACATGGAACTCACAGCACATTATCTCAGCTCCCTCAACAATAAGAAGAATAAAAACATACAGCCCACCCCCACACCCATATTTATATCGTTATAGTGCTTTACAGCTAAAATGTTTTCACAAATATCTTCTCCCATTTGGTTCAAAACTCACAACTGCGGCCGGGCGCGGTGGCTCAAGCCTGTAATCCCAGCACTTTGGGAGGCCGAGGCGGGTGGATCACAAGGTCAAGAGATCGAGACCAACCTGGTCAACATGGTGAAACCCCGTCTCTACTAAAAATACAAAACATTAGCTGGGCATGGTGGCGCGTGCCAGTAATCCCAGCTACTCGGGAGGCTGAGGCAGGAGAATCGCCTGAACCCAGGAGGCGGAGGTTGCGGTGAGCCGAGATCGCGCCATTGCACTCCAGCCTGGGTGACAAGAGCGAAACTCCGTCTCAAAAAAAAAAAAAAAAAAAAAACTCAGAACTGCACTTCTAAGGCAGAGAGGCCTGCAAGGACTAAGCCTGTTTCACACATCAGTAAACCAAGGCCCAGAGAGGTGAAGTGGCTTTCCTAAGGTCACCCAGCCGGAGCCTGCAGGTGGTGGAGGCAGGACTAGAACCCAGGTGTCCACTCTGCTGGGCAGCCTTTCCAAAGGTCTCTTTACTTTCTTTTTTTTTTTTTTTTTTTTTTTTGAGACGGAGTTTCGCTCTTGTTACCCAGGCTGGAGTGCAATGGCGCGATCTCGGCTCACCGCAACCTCCGCCTCCTGGGTTCAGGCAATTCTCCTGCCTCAGCCTCCTGAGTAGCTGGGATTACAGGCACGTGCCACCATGCCCAGCTAATTTTTAGTATTTTTAGTAGAGACGGGGTTTCACCATGTTGACCAGGATGGTCTCGATCTCTTGACCTCGTGATCCACCCGCCTCGGCCTCCCAAAGTGCTGGGATTACAGGTTTGAGCCACCGCGCCCGGCCTACTTTCTTTAGAATATAAGAGGTTGGTTTTGTGTGTGTGTTTGACTGACTCATTATGTTTGCTTCAGCACCGGCTACATAGCCAGTGCTTAATAAAGGCTTGTTGAATGAATAAATAAACGAGTGCTCAGGCTGATATTAAAATGAGTTTTTGGCCTCTGAGCAGACATCGCCTGGGCAGCAGGGAGGAGAGGGGTTGGCACCGAGTCAGGCCGGCATGAGACACTTGCGGGTCTCAGAAGTTGCCTGTGCCCTCTCCTACCCTTGCTGCAGACTCGGGAGTCTCCCAGCACTGCCTGCTAGACGGCTGCCTGCCTGCGGCGCCCCTCACGGGGTCTGTGTCTGCCTGAAGCTCTCTGATGTAAAGGTCTCTTGGTTTCCGGGGCCTCTCCGGCTTCGCGATGCCCTCCTCAAGCCAGTCCACGGTGGGAGGAAAGGCAGGGCTGCAGGGCGGGAGAGCCGTAGAGACAGGGCTCGGGAGCGGAGAGGAGGGTGCTGAGGTAACTAGGGGATGGTGCGTCCAGGAGTCTATGCTGGAAGTGGGGAATGGGGGAGAAGACGGGACAGTTTGGGCGTTGGGTAGCCAGGCACTCACCTTTGAGGCCCTGGCCCATGCCCAGGGCCAGCCCGTCCTTGGTCCATTGCACAATTCCAGAGTAGTTGAGCAGCACGCAGGGGAGCACGGCCCGCTGTCCAGCCACCACTGTCTGGTCGGCCGGCTCCTGGCTGAAGCGGGTCTGGGTCCCTGCAAAGCCAAAGCTGGCACTGGGTAAGATGAGTAAGGAGAGGGGCTTCTCTAAGGGGTCCCGGTCCCCACACAGAAGGAGGGAGGGAGCCTCTGGCTGAGGATGGGAACTCTCCGGTCCCTGCCCTCCTTCGGTCTCAACGCTTCGTTCCAAGATGCCATAGCCTCGCCCTTTATTCCTTCTTCCCTCCAAGGCCCATGGGAATGGGTTTCAGGAGCTGAAGCGCTCAGCAATCACAGAAAATGGGGCACTGTTATATAAAATCCCTTAGAAATGGGTCTAGTCCTCCTCCGTTTACAGAGGAGGACCCTGAGGTCCAAGGAGGACAGTAACTTACTCAAGGGCAAGTTAATGGCAGAGCTGGGATAAGAACCTGAGCCCCTGCATCCAGGTTCTGGCTGTTCCTCTACTACCCCCTGCCCCACCCCACCCCACCCCCACATTAATGACTCCTGCTTAGACGTGTTATGTGAGCTGATGCGAGCCAATGTGAACCAACACACGCGTGCAGCTACGCCGGATACAGTTCCTCCATGAATACTTCACGGTAGATTCTATGGCGCCAGCATGTACACGTGTGTACAGAAGCTTCCCGGGTGGGAAGTATATCCAGAACAAAGTAGCTCTGAACCCACTTCTTGGCACATGTGCCCTTTTCGGTGTTTATCCTTTGCTCCCAGGTGCAAGGGGGCAGGAGTGTGTACACACGAACACACCTGCACACACCCACCCTCCCTCACCGTGGGAGCTGAGAGACCACGTGACTTTGTTCCACTCTCCCTCCGGCTGTGGGAGCTACACATGGCTGCCCGGCTGGCAGCTCGGCCGGGAGCATTTGATTAGAGAACTGCAGAGTAATTGCCTTTAATTGTGGAGCCTAAATGGAGCAGGGAATTGCATTGCGGGTTTTTCTCCCCCAGCACTCCCACCCACCAGCTCCAACCAGCACTGGTCGGCCCCAGTGGCGGGGCAGGCCTAGGCTCCTTGCAGAGCTCTGTGAGCTATGGGGCTGTGGGGAAAGGAGGAGGGGGGCAAGCGAGTGGCTGGAGGATGGCAAAGGAGAGGTCTGGGGCTTCCTTGCCATGCTCCCAACCTGTCACGCCAGCTAACTGAAGTCAGCTCTCCCCAAAAGTCACGGCCGCCTCCTTCTTCTTTCCCTCCCCAGCTTATGAATCTGCAGAAGCCACAATCCCCAAATCCGACCTTTTTCTAACACAGCTTTCTAAAATTCCTCTGACCCACCATCACTGCTGCGTGTAAGCAGACCTAACCCACCCCTCGCCACTCCGGGATCTCCCTCTAAGTCCCCACAGAAGTGGGATCCCAGCCTTGTCTCCTCCCTTCCTTTTCCTTCCCCAGCCCCATGTCTCCTTTGCTTCCCAACCCTGCTCTACATTTCCCTCTTCCAGGAAACCCTCCTAGCCCGATTCCTCAGCCCCTCGGGCAAATATAACCGGTCACATCACTCGGCCCCGCTGTCATCACTGTGTACAGGGATTCCTCTCTCAAACTATCTGGGATTATGCCCATGATTTTGTTTGTCACATGGCAGAGGGCAGCAGGTAGGTGAGGGCGTTTGCCCTATGTGTTCCAGGAGAATGGGAACCTCTCCTCTAAGGCCGGGGGCCAAGCTCTCTCCTCCATCTGAATCTCCCTGAACATCCGACATCCACCCACATTGGTTGTCACACACAAAGAAGACTGAAAAAGCAGTGGCCGGGGGCCCAGCGTGGACTGATAACCAGAATGGGAGCTGGCATGAGGCAGCCTCTTTACTCTTGATTCAGTGTGCAAATTTAGCTCTTTGGCTCTGCAGGGGCCAGGAAGTTAGAAACAGGGTCCCTTTCTCATACTCCATGAGTGACTCCCCAACTCTGCTGACCTGACCTCTCATTCATGTTTTCTAAAGGATAATCCCTTTTGAGAGATTAGGGTGGCAGGTGCTGAGATCCTGGCGGAGGGGTGGGTCAGGTGAGCAGCCAACATTATTAATTCAAGCATTGCCCTCATTATTATTCAAATTTATTCATATCCTTGCGCATTTCTCTAGTGCAGCTACATGCCGCAAACTCTCCACACTCACGTTTCTCCTTCCCATGGCCCCCGGAGCCCAAGTCAAGGGCTTAAGAGTGGGGTTGCTGGTGAGCCCTGGCTCAGAGGTGGAATTTATATGCATAGCTTTCTTGCATGAAGCCTGGACACCCTGGTCTCTTGCTGAAGGCTCTCAAGGACAGTGAGCAGCTGGCCCTTGTCCACTTGGAATGGAGATGCAGCTGGAGATGGGCAGCACTTGAAGTAAGAATCAGGAGATGAGGGTCTTGCAGAGAGGTGAGGAGTGGTGTGACCTTGGGCCTGTCAGTCTCTCATCCGGGCCCCCTGCTTGCTCATCTATACAATGACAAGCCTGGACTAAGGACCGCTAGGTCCCTCTGCACTCAAATACTAACAGCATAGGTTTAGGAGACAGACTATGGTTTATATATTGCCTATGTGGCTTCCTCACCCAGTGACCTTGGCCAAGTTACTTGCTAGGCTTCATTTACCTCCCTGGTAAACTAGGGAATGTTAATGTCTGTTTCTGGATGGCTGTCACCGTCAAATGAGATGAGGTGTATGCTATGCTTGGTTTAGTCTCTTGCCTGTACACAGTAAATGGCAGCTATGATCATTATTTCTCCTGAGCAGTTAGACAATTAGAGGGACAACGGGAAACCTGAGCAGGAACATGACAAAGAAGGTGGTGTCTGCCTTCCTGGGAGTTTTGAAGTTTCCTCTTGATTTAGGCCTGGTTGAAGCAATTCAGTCCAGACACAGGGGGATGGAAGTAAAAACCCTGCAGAGAGTCAGGCATTCAATTCAATGGAAAGGCAGCCTAGATCCTGAGCCTACAAAAGCCACAGGCAATGTTTTCTGGTCCCAACACAGCCCCTGCAGTCAACACAGAATCCCAAATAGAGTTCAGATGTCCCTGGGTTATGCCAACCTGGCTTATGACTATGGGGACGCCCCAAGTCTGCCCTCACCAAGTCCTGTTCTCTCTGATCTGTATACACTAAGCCTTTGTCACCTCTTCATGCCCTTGCATAGGCCTTTCCCTGGGGAGGACACTGCTCCCCCCCATTCCCTTGGGATTCAAACAGTCACCTCCTCCGGGAAGTCTCCCATGACTTTTGTGCATTCCCTCAAGGTCTTCCTACTCACATCTCACCTCTGCCGTAGTAGGGTCCACACTGCACTGGCCACCCCGTCCCTGCTGGGCCCCAGGGGCAACTCCAGGAGTCTGGACCATGTCACTCATCATCAAACCCATCACCTGGTGCAGGGCCTGCTGCCCGACACACCACAGGTGTTCCGAATATGTCTGTTGACTGAGGGAGTGGGAGTGAGTAAATCCAAGTCCACAGTCCTGCCTGTGAAATCTCCATCCAGAAAAGGAGCCAGCGCATGCCCCTGCCCTGAGGGGAGGCTCACAGACTTCCATGGAGACAGAGACAGGCTGGGCGGGTAAAGTGGACAGCACCTTCCTCCCAGCGAGAGGAGGAGCAATGTTGGGGCAGAACTTGGGAGTCTGTCCTGGGAAGCTCGCTGAAAACAGAGAACCTGGAGCAGAGGAGGGGAAGGGCAAGGGAAACAGGCTCTGGTCGGTGCTGACATATGGAGGGATGTGGGAGAGCAGAGGAGAAAGCTTAGAAAGCGAGCAGTGAGGCGCGGGGCGCGGTGGCGAACGCCTGTAATCCCAGCACTTTGGGAGGCAGAGGCGGGTGGATCACGAGGTCAGGAGTTCAAGACCAGCCTGGCCAAGATGGTGAAACCCCGTCCCTACTAAAAATACAAAAATCAGCCGAGCGTGGTGGTGGGTGCCTGTAATCCCAGCCCACTTGGGAGGCTGAGGTAGAGAATTGCTTGAATCTGGGAGTCGGAGGTTGCTGGAGATCGCACCACTGTACTCCAGCCTGAGCGACAGAGTGAGACTCTGTCTCAAAAAAGAAAAGAAAAAAGAAAATGAGCAGTGAGGTGCAGGCCTGGGACAGGGCACGGCTGCTCAGTCAGCAGGAAGGGGAGAGGGGACCCAGTAGCATTACAGTGTAAAAGGGGGTGAGGTATTGGTTTGAACTTGAATGTCAAGAAGTCACCAAGAACCCAGTACAAGTGGCCTAGGCACACATCTGTGTGCACATTCTACATCTCAGGCTTGGTTGCCTGGCCTTCCACCATCCATGCCGCAGAGCAGAGCCTGCCCTGGACTAGGGGTGACATTTCAATCCTGTTCCTACCCCTGCGTCCACTTCCAGGAAATAAAACCAGTGCCAAACAGAAACACAAAAAAACTGCTCTATGCAGGGGGGTGGGGAGGTGACCTCGGGGAGCCAGGTGGGAGTGGAACCAGGAAGGTCCTGACCACAGACATAAAGTGAAAACAAGACCAGCCTCCCACTGCCGGGTCAAATCCTGGCAGCTCCAGTCTGGGGCCAGCCAGTGAGAGTCTGCGCGTATGTTTCAAGTGTATTCCCACCTGCTTTGATCTTGCTCCCTCCCTGCCTTCAGACATCATCACAGCTGTGGTGAGCTCTTAAGCAGTCATTGTGAAGACAGGCAGAGAAAAATCGAGCAGCACACGTGTGTGCCAGGGCACGCACACTCACACGCACCCACACGGTACCCAGGAGAAGGCTGACAGAGGCACAGATGACGCTGAGAAGTAAGACAAAGACAGACACCCACACAGAGACAGAGGCAGAGCGAGGAGGGAACGGAGACTAGAGTGAGAAGGGAAGGGAAGAGGCGAGCTCTGTGGGAAAGAGCCCAGGGTGGAAAAGATGCAGGTCAGACCGCCAGGGATCCAGAGAGAGAAGCACCAGGAGGAGCCAGTGAGACAAAGACACCCACAGAGTAATAGAGACCCAAGGCAAAGCAGGGAGGAAGGGGGCAGAGATGGAGACCAGGAGGAAGACAGAGGCGGGAGGGGAGGGGAGGGGAGTGGGGGCCCTGGTGGCACCCC